AGAGAGAGAGAGTTAGTGGAGAGAGAGAGTTATGAGAGAGAGAGAGGTGAGTAGAGATGGGGGAGACCACCCTTATATATAGTGAAATTTAGGTCTATTCTTTAGGGTTTTCCATAGTTTGTCTCTTTCTTGAGATTGAATATGGACCGTTGATCAAGGTGACTTGTGAGGTAAGAGATCTGAGCCATCCATTCTATAGATGGGCCATAAACATTATGGAAGGTGCATGGACCACCTTAAACCATTTTCCCATCAATATATGTAAATAAATTAAATCTATCAAAGATATAGTGCATACCATAAAGTTGCATATTCCATCTCATATTTTCCATAAGAATATTTCAATAATATCAACTCATGATATTCCTTCAATAATCAGGATAAGATATGGTCAATATTTCCTAATCAATATTTGATCATATGCTACGAGATAAAGTTACCATATTCAATAAACTTGTACTCAAAGTAATCAAGAAGAGGCATCCAAGGGTGGGGCATGCCACCCATATGAGGCACGTGGGGCCCCACCAATAACCACATGGTGGGCCCATGTGCACTATGGGCCCCCCATGTATTTTTTTATAAATATTTTAAAATTGAACAAAACGAATTTTAAAACATTATAACTTTGTAAATTAATAACTTCATTTTTATAAGTTCAAAATAAATAAATAAAATATCAAATGACTTACAAAAATTCAAATAATAATCTAAAATAATTAATTAATAAAGTGAACACAATTAAATTAATATGATGGGAAGTGGGTTCATATGGTTAAGGAATTCTATCAATGGTCATACGGTACTCCACCTTCAACTGTGGACTACAGACCACATTTGCTTTATCAAACCAACCCAGTGTTTCTCATGACCCATAGTTCAAGCAGGGGCTCACTAGCGGGTCACCAAAGTCTGCCTGATGAGTCAAGAGGTCGCAATCCCAGCCTGTGGCTTACAAGTCCTCCCCTAGAGACGAGTCAAGGTCACCACGACCTGATGGGACCACAGTTTTATGGTGCATAAGGGTATCTCTCACACATACATACGCTTCACCCAAAAGGTGGATAACTGGCATTCCCGAACGATCTATCGATATGCATGCCCTGTGATGGATCATGGATGAGGTTTTGGCCCCCGTTTCTGGTGGCTTACCATCTCACACAAGGGTCACACAGTCCCTCGACTCACTCATTTAGGTATAAGCTCCGACCTTATCAAGGGCTAACCTAAAAACCCTTCTCGGTTTATTCTTTATGCCCAGGTACCTTGGGTTTTCCAACCGACTGGCCTAGATCGTCAAGCATACCGGTATCAGTAAATATCATTTGTTTAGTATGGTCCTCGAGGGACTACACTCCCATTGAGTTTATGTTCCACTATAATAAATGTTTTTCATTACATACTCATAAGGCATTTAAAGGCCACATAAATCCAACATCTCCCACTTGGTTTTTGAAGGCCTTACATTATTTCTTTCTCACTTTCTCTCATCCCCATCTCTTTCACATGTCTTACAAAAACATTAGGGACAACTCTTTTAATCAGAGGGTCTGCAATCATCAAATTTGTAGATATGCAGTTAATCTAGATCTCTTTCAATCTCACCTCATTTCTCAGGTGATAGAAGTATGGCATGATATGCTTGGAATTCTTGTGAAACCGAGGTTCCTTAGGGACACAAATAGCCGCCGTGTTGTCGTAGAAAATTCGCACTGCCTCACAACGTATATGATGAAAATTAAATTGATATAGAAACTTCTTATTTCACACGGTCTCCTTGGCTGCTAGACAACATGCCACATACTCAGATTCCATGGTGGACAAAGCCACAATATGAAGGGGTACTACCCGCGAATATGTTCCTTCTCAAGCTGATGCTTCAAGTGTGTCAAGATCAACAACTCTTCTCTCTCTCTTAATGCTTGCTTGCAACACCACATCAAAAAATTAAAAAAATTACGTTTTGTTTTTATAAAAATGTGTTATTTGTGATGAATATGAAGAAAAAAAAAAAATTTCCTTCTTTTTAATTTTATATAGTTTTGGTGAGCTTGTTGCATTGTTTTTAATGTTATATTTTTTTTTACAAAAATATGTTTTTTTTGTGATGAATATGAGAAAAAAATGTTTCTTTCCTTTTAATGTTATATATTTTTTGTGAGCTTGTTGGATTGCTTGTAATGTTATATATATTTTTTATAAAAGTATGTTTTTTTGTTCTACTTTCTTCCTCAGTGTGGAAATGTGGAATGAGTTTGTGTTCACTGAATAATATCAAAACATTCACCTTTCTTGGTTAAGTTTACAATGAATTTCTTGGGCTTTTGATAGGAAATCATAGGACGTGGTAAAGGTACTCCAGCTACATTTTACCTTTTAAATCGTATCCTTTTGCAGGTTGACATGAGTACATTCATCAAAAATTTTGAGCCACATCTAGTTTGGACGGTGGAACCGAAACGACCTCGTTATATAACATTTCATTAGACTGGACTTTATACATATTGATATATTTATTGCAACACTACTTACTGTTATTAAGTGATAATCTATAGAATTACTGTCAGTGATAATCTATAGAATTACTGTAAAAGTCTTGTAAATTTGCAAGAATTTTCTATTGCTCTATTAAAGCCATGAATTGTCTGCACCTTATGATGCAACTTGATCCAAATGACTAATATATGACTGGTTTAGAAGATGAAAAGCAAAAAAAAAAACGGATTTATATATTTTATTTTTTATTTTTTAAAATATTTAAGAAGCTTTTGACTCCTTTTTTTAAAAAAAAATCTACTTGATCGGTTAATCTGGTTAACTGCCCGGTTCCGATTCAAACCTAGGCTCATGACGGGTCAACCGTTCCGGTTCGATTTTGCGAGCACTTATATGCACACAAGATCGTCTAATTTTATTAGGATTAATCTAAGCATTTAAAACCCTAAAATCCATATTTTTCTGAGGAAACAACCGTACGAGGAGCCTGAGAGGGCGTAGAGTTTGATACCGCGGGCGTGCCAGGCTTTATTTCCCTGGGTAAACGGTTGTATCAGGCTTTAGGGTTTAAAAACTGCAAAAGCCGTGAATGGTTTCCGCTTCACTCAGTGCGGCTAGCGTTTTGAGACTCTCTATCCGTTGTTTGGGAACATCACTTAGGTTTCGGATTCCCATTTAACGCTTTCTATTTTCACAAGCTACAACTATCCAGGTCGATCTTGTAGCTGTTCTCTCTTTGCATTTCTCAGTATCTGCTCATTTCATATGTGATTAGTTGAGTCATTGATTTCTCTTCTAATGGATTGGGTTCTAGGGTTTTTCTACCTTATGTGATGTGTGTTATGCCTTCTTATTTGAGGTTGATAAGTTGAACTCTTTGTATTTATTTGGTCGGAGAGTTGAAGTTCATGCTTTGTTTTCAAAAAATTTGATCGTTTTATGATTTGCTATGATCAATAAATTCTAAATTTGCTTATAAAAAAAATCTAGGGGGTTCTTCTGTTTGCTATGATTGAATGGTTTCAATTGAAAAGCTTGAAGATTGCGCTTTTTTTTTATGATGAGATATTTTGATTCCTTATGTATCGGATAAATTTTGGTTTTTGAATCTTAATTTGAACTTCTGGACTAAAAAAAAGTCTCTTTTATGTCCTTATCTTTTTTATGATTAATCAATGAGATTTTTCCCTTTTTTTGTAGGATGAAATCTACTGTTTTTCTTTCATGTTGAATCCCCCGATTTTTCCACAATCATTTTCTAATTAGTTGATTTCGAAGATTTTTACTTTGTTTTTTCTCCTAAGATGAATTCTAGGGCTTCTCTTATCAAGTTGAATCATAGGGCTTTCCTTATCCAGTCAGCCTCCATATCCAACCTTAAAGTTGTCTGGCGCAAAGACCCTCGCCTCGACAATGTAATTGAGCATGACAAACTCTGGTACCTTTGCTCAAAAGTCGTCAAAGAAGTGCTCTATGAACCCAACCATGTTATCCCCCTTAGATACTTAGAGAAACGTAGAGAGCGCCTTCGTCTCCCCATCAAAGTAACTACCTTTCTCGATCGCCACCCTGGTCTCTTTGAAACCTACTTGGATAAAATAAAACCCAAAACCCAACCAGTCCCCTTCCTTCGATTCTCTGATAGGCTCCAAGCTTTCCTTGATGAAAAGAAAAGGATCGAAGAAGCCAATGAACCTCTGTTGGTGGCGAAATTGTGCAAGCTTCTCATGATGTCAAAAGATAAAGTTATCAGTGCTGATAAGTTAGTACATGTCAAGAGAGAATTCGGGTTCCCTGATGATTTCTTGTGTAATTTGGGGTCCAGATACCCTGAGTATTTTCGGTTAGTGGGTTGTTTTGGAGAGGAAAAATCATTTATAGAGTTGGTTTCTTGGAACCCTGATTTTGCCCAATCTGTTGTAGAATTAAGAGCAAAGGAGGAGTCTGAATTAACAGGGATTAGGATGCGACCTTCGTTTAATGTGAAGCTCCCCCGTGGTTTTTACCTAAAGAAGGAAATGAGGGAGTGGATTAGGGATTGGATGGAGCTTCCTTACATTTCCCCTTATTCTGATGCGACCCATTTGGACCAAGCCTCCCGAGAGATGGAGAAAAGAACAGTTGGGGTTTTCCATGAACTTCTCTCTCTTTCAATTCTGAAAAGAATTGCTGTTCCCATATTGGGCAAGTTTAGCGAGGAGTATAGGTTCTCAAATGCATTTCCTAACCTATTCATGAGGCATTCAGGAATCTTTTATGTCTCTCTAAAAGGGGGGATCAAGACAGCTGTGCTGAGAGAAGCCTATAACGAGGATAAGCTGATAGATAAGGATCCATTACATGCTATAAAGGATAAGTTTGTTGAATTGTTGGAAGAGGGGCACAGAGAGAGAAAGGAGAGAGAAAGGTTGAAAAGGGAAGCTGTTCAACGGGAGATGGCGGAGGCAGCTGCAAGGAATAGTAATGTTGCATAACATGGTTGCGAAAATGAACCACTTTTAGCGGCTAATACCTTTCAAGCTTCTAATGATGTCAAAAGAGAAAGTCATCAATGCTGATAAATTAGTACATGTCACAAGAGAATTTAGATACCCTGATGATTTCTTGTGTACTATAGCATCCAGATACCTTGAATATTTTTGGCTGGTGGGTCGTCTTGGAGAGGGGGAGTCATTTCTAGAACTGTTTTCTTGGAACCGAGATTTTACCCAATTAGACATAGAAGTAAGAGCAAAGGAATAGTCTAAATTAACAGGAATTGGAGAGAGATCCTTCATGTCCAAATAAATGGTGGATCAATAAATGGTGGAAGATGGATTATTTGCTTGTTTTGGCAGCATCTGAAAGCTGCATCTTTAGCAGGGGGAACTAATGGCAGCAAAATACTCGGCTCATCTCTGTGATATTACCTCCCATTTTCCTCTTGTCATTCAGCCTGTGTGAGTCTTTCAAATGTTTGTTTCCTGTGTCTTTTGTTACATTTTGCTGAACTCATCTCTTTGCCCTCTTCCTTTCAGATTTCCCTTTTTGGAGGATTTTATTGTTTTAATAGCATTTTCCGTTATTGGTTGAAAATGGTTGATTTGTTTATTTTCTCTAATAGTGCTAATTAGAATGACTGGAGCTTGAAGATACAGTTTCTTGTACATGACAAAGGAAAATCGCAGAACTTCAATTTGCTTCTTTTTTGAAAAAGAAATGCAGAATTCAGTGTTAGAACTCTACTGTGCAATATATATGAACTAAATAAAATAAGTAAAATAAAAATTAAAAGATTTTTTCACTTTTCAAGTGGAGACTGCTGTACTCCGTGTACCTTGTGTTAAATGGGAACTGGCTTGTGAATTGTAATACTTGAGTTGCCTATAAGATATTTTCGACGCTTTACAAATTACTCTAAGATAAATATGAAAGGAATAGTTATAAGTGCTGGTTGAGATAATTTGATTTTGATTTATTTCATGTAATATATTGCATTCAGGTTACTCCATGTGGGGTGTTGGGTGGCAGACAAAGATGGAGAACCCATGCAGACAAAGATGGAGAACCCATATATCCATAAATTTCTTGTGTACTGCACCTAAAGGCTCGTTTTTTTCATATTGTAAATGGAAAGGAATCATTGGACTTCTTTATTATTTTTACATTCTGAGGGGATCATGTAATTGTGACTCCTAAAAAATGATGTTGTTCCATTAATAAACTGTGTAACTAATAAAAAAATTATTATGCAACTAATAAAAAATTCGTGGATAGGAAACTAGGAAGCAATTAAATTTGTTAAGTTTATTAGACCTGAAAGTTGCAATAACGCAATGCAAATAATTTTCCGAAGTAGCCATTATAATAGGTATCCCTGAATAGATGCAAGATTTATATGAGCACACTGGTTATGTCCTATGTGACATACATATGGAGGGAGATTAGCTTGCTCTGCCTTCATGAGGTTTATAACAAGATTTTTTTTTTTTGGGTGTATAGACATGTGGAGAGACACTGTAGTTTGTTCTGCCTTTATGTGTGATATATGTGTATGCGTGCATGCATGCGTGTGTGTCATGAAAGCTTTACAATTGTCATGTGCACCAGCACTAGATTGCCGGGCATTAGAGTGCTTTATATGAAATTGTTGGGACTGAAATAAACAAAGACCAAAAAACCATTCACACAGGAGGGTGGGATTAACGGAACTTTTAAGCGCAACACCAGGGGAACATTGACAAGGGAGGTACATAGAAGGTTTTATTGGCTGATTTCTTAAGGATTGAGCGTTAGTTCTAGGTTATAGATTTATTGGGTGATACTGCCAATATTTTTAACTAGGTAGTGGAAATTATAATTTCTTTCTATCCCAAGTGTAAAAAACTGTTAATTTTCATATGTTATTAGTATTATTTTTTTGTTTTAGTTCTCAAACATTGTAGTGTTCTAATCCTGTTGTGAATATCAATTTAGAATGTTGTACTTGTTAATTGCAGTTGCATGGTGGTCCGAATTGGGCACAACTTCTCTTGTTGCAATAATGCTTCATATTCTTATTTTTTAGCGGCGCCACCAGATTTATGTTAAAGGAACAAGCCTCTATATGATTGTCACCACTTGAAGAAGTTGAAGATCTTGTCTGTTTATTCATAATACTATAGTAGATCCATAAAAATATGATTTCTTCTTTTTTTATTGTTTGCTAGGTTGTGTCTCACAACTAAAATCATAGGCAGTAGTTGCAGTTTGTCTTTCATTCCTCAAAACTTGCATTTCCATTGGCAAATGGGGAAAAAGGTGAGTGGCAATGCTAAACCATGGACTTGGAATACAGCTTGGATCATAGTTACGAGGATCTCACGACTTGGTGGAGATCCTGACAATTCCACTCTCCATGAGCTGGAACTTGGGTGGATCTTGCTCCCATATGAGGGGGAACATGATCCAAATCCATTAGGGATCGGTCGATATAAATCACACACTCATGTTGGATTGATCTTTTATAAGGAACCTGTCGATGTAAATCACACTCATGTTAGATTGATCTTTATAAGGAATCAAGTATTAAATGCATACCCATTAAGGAATTAATGTAACTATGTTGCAAAATTATGTTATATGTATATTTCAAAGAGAAAAGGGATGTTTTTACTGGAGGGGGTTCCCCAACATGTTGGATTCAAGATCCCTAAAATTCACGGTATAAGGACAGCGATCGCTACTATAGGAAGCTTCTAGCCTATCATGATCCCATGGACCCACCCTTTCAATCCTGCTCCTGATCCCAACAACTATGACTTGGACGATGATAATATGTTATTTAAAGTGTGGGTTGAAGAGGCTACTAGACTCCTAAAGGTTGTCGCCTTGTGTGGCTAAAAGCAGTGTTGAAACCATGAGGCTAGAGGCAATTTGACAGTCTCGTGGATGATGATGATACTTCAGGTAGTATTCATTGATAACATAGGAAGCAGTTTGAAACCATGAAGTCAAGAGGCAATTTGACGGTCCAGTGGCTGATGATGCTTCGAGTGGTAATAGTGTGATGTTAGTCAAACTAATCAATAACTGACTATTGACTTAATGAGCTTTGAGATGAAATTTTGTTTTGTTAATGAGTTTGAAGAATACATGAATTTGAAGAACATGTTGGGAATTATGAATGGGCTGTGATCTTTTTTTCATTATTGTTGTGATTGATGAATGTGACTTGAAATTTATGAATAGCTTTGTAGAAGTATGAATAAGTTGAGGCGTGCTTATATGGCTGCTGTATTGCGGTTTCAGTTGCACCACAATATAACAACTGCATGAGATTTACTCCATTTCATTGCACCTGGCAAAATGGCACGGCCAATAAATTGTGCCGTTTTTTAGTTGCTTCAGGCTTGGATTTTGGTTAAACCTAATCTCAACTTGTACTTCTTGTCGTCAAAATGAAACCCCAAGTTAGCTCTCTGGCGAAATCTAACTCAGTAACTCGCAACACCCACTATTTCCAATCCTCCATCTTG